AAAAAAAAAAAAAAAAAAAGAAAAGATTGTTTTTTTAAAGTATTTTTTGGAATGACAATGACGACAGAATCTTCACCAGCATTCGGCAGTTTATGCACCACAGGACCACCAGGTGGCGCTTATGCCACAGTTTGACCACCAGGTAGCGTTTATGCCACAGTTTGGCCACCATGACATAGCACTACATTTCCCATCATCCTCTGCTCCAGGTAGAAAAACAGTTCAGCTGTTTTCTTCTTGTCTGCGTGCTGCTCCAGCCTTCAGACTTCTCTCTGTGAGGAGTTTGGACTAAAGGAAACAACCGCAACCAGAGGAGACAGGATCCGGGTGTTCGTGGATTTTTCTCCAGTGGGGTCTGTACAAAAAGAAAAAAGTCAAAATATCCTTCTAAAACTTTACTAACTTATCAATTGTCGTCTTATTGTTAGACAGGACATTAAATTAGGATGTAGAGGCAGTGTTGCGTTCACTGCACCTCCTCAGTCATAGCTGGATTCCTTCAGAACTTGCAGGATGCTGCGTTTACGGTCCGGTGTCTGGTTTTAATCAGAGGCCTGCAGATGGAGCAGGCTTTTCTGTCTGAATAGAGGATGCACTTTTATCAGGGATTCAGAAAAGCCTGTCATGCAGCTCTGCTCTGTCAGCTGCTCACAGACACAACAATGCTGTTTGTTTCAGTGCAGCCAGATTCCAATTTTTATTTTGGAGCCAGTAGAGGATTGTGGCCCAGCTTTAGGTCACACCGCAGACTAATGAGCTTAAACTGAGTCCAGCTCAGCCACAAGGATCAGAATCAAAGGGGTCCAAAGTGGGCCACACTTGGAGAATCAAAGTTGATGCACATACACATGAAAAACACTAAGATGTAGTTCCCCCCCTCCCTCAACTTGACAGACAATATACAGACATTTTAATGAAATAGTGCAGTTCATTAGTTTTACCTTTTATCAGCCCTATGGATTCCAAAAAAATTAGAGGATTTATTTAAGTTAGCAAAATTAAGACTAAGCCATCAAATCTGCAAGGACACAAAAAAGCTAGAAAAGATAAAATATGCTGGTGAAGGTCCTCATTCATCCAGGTCATATTTATTCCAAAAAAAAAATTAAAAACAATTTTTGAATTGAAAGCCCAAGTCCACTGGATTGTTTTCTATTCATTAATTTATATATATAAATAAAAAAAGATAAAATAGTTAAAAATATGAATGCTTTCTTGTTTTTCTTTTTATTCAGGCAAAACTGCGAGCCTGATATAGTTTAAATTTATGATGATTAGCTCCTCACTTTTCTGCAGAAATTGGTTTGCAATGGCTTTTTATTTAAATATTCTTAGTTTATTATAGAGCAAAAATACAACAAAGAAACATTTTTATTTTTATGTTGGAATTGACCAGCCAAAATGCTTAACTTGACACCTCGGCTGTAGTTCAAAGCAAAGTTAGACTTGGTAATTTAAAAATCAGCCTTGTGGATACGGATATTTTAGATTTTATTCTATCTACAGATTAGTTGCAGCAGTAGCTAAACTGTAAAAGCATTGAAATATAAACAAGTTAGTTCCTCTTAAAATAAATGTTTTTTCCCTTAATTTGAGCAGGTAAGTAAAACAATTTGCCAGGAAAATAAGATGAATTATGCTTAAAATATGACAAAACAACTCCATTATTTTATTTTACCTGCATAATTTATGATTATCTTTTTAAAAATACTGATTCCATTGGCAGATCATCTTATTTACCTGCTTAAATTAAAGGGAGATAGACCTATTTGGAGAAATCTTTACTTGTTCTAGATGTGTACAGTTCATCTTTATATATCAAAATGTATGAGACTAATTAGCAAGGAAGGAACAGAAACATCTAGTATTCAACTCTATATTGTTCTTTTTTTAAGCTAATCAAAAACTTATTTGTTCCTTTTAAGGGAACAAAAAAATTGTCCTCATTGTCTCATTTTGTAATCTGATATTATAAACATTCATATAAGGGAACAAAATGAGTTTAATGAGACCAAAACAAAGCATTACTGCTATTGAGGAACGGAGTTCACCTCCCTCTCACTAGATCAATCCCTCTACATTAAAACATAGTGGTGGCAACATCATGCTCTGGGAAGCAAATGTTATATCTAAAGGGATGATGGATGGCACTGTTTGTTAGTTGTCCACATGCATCCACAGTGTAAAATAAAATCTGCAGATGTTAAAAGGACAGTTTTGCTACTGGATCCATTAGAGGAGCTGGAAAATTGACTAAAATAAGCTAGAAATGCCTGCTATACTGTTCAATATGGATTTAAATGAATGGATTTTAAAGGAAAAACTAAAAAAAACAAAGTTCGGTGTTTGAACTGTTGCACAAACTGGAGATCTATCAGTTGCCAATACTGGTATCAGGTTAAAAACACTTTACAACCCAGTCCAGTCTGTCCATGATGGGATCAGGGGTGTAAAGTCCAAGACTGATAGGAATAAGGTTTGCTCCTTCATACACATTGCTTACCTGCTGTGGTGATATGAAGCCTCTAGCAGATCCAGGCTCAGGTTTGCTGACAGAAGCAGACATACAAACATAGAACCACTGATCTATAAATACTTTCTATGGTAGAAAATGTAAGAGTAAACGAGCTCCCCAGGTGGCGCTGTCTAGGAAAGAAACAGTTAAACAGATAAGCGCTGCGCTAGTTTTATGTCAAAGGGATGAACGAGAGCACATCCAGTTAGTCACAGTAAAATCTGAGCCCATAGCTCAGAGAAACAGGACAAATAACTGAAAAAAACAGACCAAACTCTATCATCAGAAATCGATATCTGTCTCTAAGATGGAGTCACAGCCAAACCAGACTAGATTAATCTACTATGATGTGAAAAATCAGAGAGATGGTCATGTTGGATGTTAAAATAACAGGGGATTCGACCCTG